TTCTTCTTTTTTTCTTCTTCTTCTTTTTTTCCTTCGTTTCCAGGATGAAAGGTGAGCCTTGATCCCTGGTTCGATAGGAAAGGGAGCGTGGTTAGTAGGACGCCTGACTCAGCGACTCGCTAGCAATACGGATCGGAAACGTTTTTTTGTTGTTTGCTTTGGTCTTGTTTTTTCCAAACGGCGCGTCAATTTCACGTTGCTTTTTCGGGAAACTTTTTTTGTACGGAGAAGAAGCGCAGGGAGCAAGCCGAGCAACTACAGTGCACGGCACTTCGCGCGTTCGTCGTTTCTCCCCCCCCCCCCCTTTTTTTCAAAATACAGGTAGCACCGAGGCTTGTTCGAAATCAAACACAGGTACTGACGAACACCGACACACTACATATAGGCGAGGCAGTGGCCAAGGGCAGCAGGTTGCGGTGAAGGCTCTGTACAGCGGCTTTCTACTCGGAACGAGTAACCTGATTTCGTCATCAGCTGGCGCGTAGACTCCGGGGGCGTCTTCCGATTGTTCATCAGCGGCGTCCAGCGGCATGGATTTCTTCGTAGACTTGGACCAAGCGGAGGACTGCATCGACGCTGATGAAGTGGTATAGCTCCAGCTAGCTATGGCACCCATCACGATCGAACCTTCAGCACTACAAGCGGCCCTATCCCTTCTCTCCCTTTGTCTTGCGCTCCTGCCTAATCTAATAATCGTAGGATTTCTCCTATGGGCGTGCCAATCTGAATTCATACTTCTGGCACCAGCTCGCATCGCGACTTTGCTCTTCTGCTCAGCAGGCTTCTTCATCACTCTTCTAAGCGCGCTCCTGATTGCAGCTGCCATTGCTTGCGCGCTGACCATATGTTGTTGGATGCAAGGGTAGAGCATCCGCACTTGCGCGAAGAGGCGGCAGCTCATTTAGCAGCACGATACTGTGGACTTCCGTGAAGACAGTGGATCGCACCAAAGGCTCCGACACCATGGCGGCCGTCGAAGCGAAGAGTGGGAGGGCAACAGTGGAACTAGCGGCGTACACATTCCTTGCGTACCTCGCATTTCTCGCATTGCTAGCTCTGCTCTTCTTCATCATCCTGCTCCCGGTCCACAACATGCAGTGCTCGATGCCGGAGTCGCGTCTGCTGATAGCACAACGAGGCGTCACAGCACCTTCCTCTCTCCCTCCGCCCACCCCTTCCACCAGCAGTCCCACCACCGCGTCATCTTCAGCCACGCTCCGCTGCACGGCTTCCACTCCCACACGCACCACCCACACAGCTAATACCCCCCCGTCTAAATCCACGGCTTCCAACGACAAAGGAAGTTGTTCCCTCTGATGAAGCCGCCAGTGGCAGGCGGCAGAAAGGCCTCAGGGAAATGCCACCCCTCCTGTGGATCTGCTGAGTAGACCTTTTGCATATGTATATGCGGTAATGAGGTCTCGGTATGGCATGGTGCAGGTTCTTGTTCTCACCTTACCCCCCCTTTCCTTTTTTTCCCACTCCCGCTTCGCCAGTTGCAGCGCTAAGATCGTATTGTTGACAGTGCCCCGCGTGCTTTGCTACAAGGATTGGAGTGAGCAAACTGAGTAACAATTGTTTTAGTATAATCAATTTGCGTGTGTAATCTTGTACATGATTTCTTCACCTTGTTTGTAATTTTTTTGTGTGCAACTTGTTTACTTTCAGCTTTTTTTGCAGTATGCTCCGATTTTTTCAGGGTGTTTTTTGTTTTTCATGGGAATGAGCACGATGCATGTTTTAGGTCCCACGGAATACTCTGGTCCGACCAAATCTAGACCTACCTTACAGGAGGCTAGAGGCAGTGAGGAGCCGCAGTCTGACGGGGAGCACTAGGCATGATGATTGGAACTAGTCTCCATGGAACGATTGCATGCTTGAGTTAGGCGAAACATGATCTGGTTTCTTTGCCGCTTTTGCTTTCTATCTTCTTTGTGTTCATCACCTCTGTTTTATTTTCTCTCCTGCGGTCTTCTTCGGTTTTTGTAAAATCTGGTTTTCAGCGAGGATTAGCGTACTACATGTTTTTTGGTCCATCGGGATACGATGATCCCACCGAATCTAGGCATCCCGTCAGGGAGAACAGTAGGAACGGGGTACCATCGTATGACGAAGGGATGCAAGGCTTGTTTGTGGAAGCTCATCTCCATGGCAGCAGATGCGTACATGAACTGAGCGGGACTTAATCTTATGCATGATTTTCCCCCCCTCCCCCTTTTTTTCCATGTACCCCGGGGTATGATGATCCCACCAAATCTGGAAATACCTTTTCGAAGGAGGCCAGATAACGTAGGAAACCACCATGCGTCAGGGTATACAAGTCTGGTCGGCATAGGGTCGTTTCCATAATGCGCTTGAGCCGACCAAATCGTACATGTGTTTTGAGTTTGATAATTGATGCACATCTGATTCTCGCTTTAGGATAGGTTCGGTCTATCAACATTGATTCGATGATTTTTTGATCTCGTTACGGTACCCCAACTTGGGCGACTCTCTTGCTAAGAAGGGTATGAGGGAGTTGAAGCAATCAATCACCTCCCCCGTACCGTTCTCTTTTCTATTCCCAGATCCCGAGATGAGCGGTGACACTACCAAATCCAGGCCTACCATACAGAGGACCAGGAGGAGAATAGGACCACCGCATGCTCGAGATATGAGAGGACGATTAGATGGGAACGCTACCTCAAAACAGTTGGATAATAGTAATTGTCWTTTTTTCTCTGTTAATTCATGGAATGCCAGTGGAAKATCGGTTTTCCRTTTTTTTYTGCCTTTGTTTCATATCTCGAATATGTCGARAYTCTTTTAAATGGCACRGGGGAAACGGTGTTATATGGTGAGAAGCRGACGRCATGGGGATCTTGTCAACAATTCAGACCCCTCCCCCATTTCGCACCCTTTGAGAAACCAGGGGGGGCGGACGCACCATGAGATACCCCCCACGCCGTAATAATAATTTTTTACGGATTTTTTCTTTGTATGTATGTTTTTTACTATTTTTCTCCCCTGTTTTTCGAATTGTCCTGATAATGGCACTGGCGATCGCGTAGCTACTCTGGTATCCGGGATATGTCGAACCCCAGCATGTTCGGAGGAACCAAAAAAACCGAGTCGGAAACGCAAGGTTAATCCACCATCTCAGTAGATGCCCCCCTTGCCACAAACGAAGGCATCCCATACCTGCGCAGTTAAAAGGATACGAGGTGCGCCGGTGAGCTTTCACCGGAGAACGTGCATGATGCAGCGAAGCACATCATGGCATAATATATCTATTCTTAAAACACACAGACACACGACTCTTAGAGCAGCAAGGGGGGTTCAGGGTCACAGGCCTATACCCCCCGACCCCTTAAAAAAAAAAAAAAAAAAAAAAAAAAAGACGTTCGCGCCTGCGCGAACACGTTCGCGCGAACGCTAACAGCGTGCAACGCAGCTCCAAAGGAAGGAAACTAGTGAATGTATCCAACCCAGCTTTAGGGTTGGGTGGGGATGTGCTGTATTCGAGGGATACTTGAAGTGAATTTAGAACTGAAAAAAATGTGACTTTGGGGGGGGGAGGGGGGGGGGGRGTTGGACAATTTCATTATAAACCAATGGGAAGGAGGCCTGGGACCTCACAATTCAACCCGGCAAATAGTGCTGGGGGCAAAAAAAAAAAAAGTGGAAACCGCGTCCAGTGTCCCAGTTTTCCTATTCCAGAGAAACTTTCCTAAAATTGAAACTTAGAAGCACAGAAAGCAAGTCTCTATCTAGCAAAACAACCACAACCTTGAAAAACCAGCTGGCTATGATTACAGATGGGAAAGTCAAGATAGCTCCTTGGTACCCCTTCCCGCCCTCAAATTTGGCCTTAGTAGATTTGCATTGGTATGCATTGTAATATGGTTAAATAAGTTCCTTTTGCTTAATATTGAGCATGGACTAGGTGGGAGTGATGCTAGCTTTGGAAGAAGTATTTGGCGGCCTAAGTCTAGGCTGAAGAGGCAAAAAAAAAAAGGAAAAAAAAAAAAAGATAGCTCCTTGGTCATACAAGGAGAAGTTATAGTTGTAACCTGGGCGCTAGGTTATTTCATCGCAGTAGATGGGCAGGCAGTAGCTTGGAAGGAGTGCTGTACACTCACAAGTCTTAGAGCTGATTTAGGCTTATACTCCGCTGACTTACTTCAGCGAAATTCCCCCAAGTATTCCACGCAATGCTACTTCCAAGTTGTCATTTCCCTACACAGTGCCCCCCCTGTAAAACGCCCCATTAAACGCATTGTTACTTAAACGCCCTGTAAAATGCCCCCCCCTGTAAAACGGCGGTTTAGAGTTCTCCAGCTTCAAGCGCCAAAAACTAGAGTTCTCCCTGTAAAATGCCCGCCCCTTGTAAAATGGCCCCCCTCTCCGCCTCTTCGACATTCCTCAAACTACCGTCTTCCCCCGAACATAACGCACCCTAAAAATGAATGTATACAAGCTATATTTCCGGCCAGAAACAGCCAAAATAAGGGTGATGCTGGGTGCCGCCAGACACAGTCTACCCGGAAGAGCAATTGTTGTTATGATAATATATAATTCCAAGTTCCTGCGCGAAAACAAACAAACAAACAAACAAACAAACAAACAAAAACAAGCTGCGCTATTTCTACATCGGAGAATTGCAACAGGTAGACTGCACTTTAGCAGCACACAAAACCAGGAATCCACAAATGTGCAAAATGAGAATGAATCTTCCGCTAGAACATGGGAAGATACCACACCACCATATTTTTTGTCTTTTCTGCATGTGATGAGTACTGGAGCGAGGCCCACAGTCGCACACAACCAAAGCCAATACAAGAAGCACAAAAAACGCGCTGTTCATCATCTCAACAGACTACTGAGCAGCTGCAAACTTGAAGATGTCTCAAATCAAAAACTGACTTTTCTTCCTCTCCCCCCCCCCAACCCCCCTTCCCTCTTCCTGCCCCCACACACACGCAAAGAAAGAAAGGGGGTAAGAACAAAAAAGAACCTACCCCCAAGCATTGGTTATAGATCTATTTACACGTTTCTTCTCCTCCAATGGCAATGCAAAGAACTCTCGTTCCGCTGCTGCCAGCTCGTCCAGCAATTCTTGCGGAACACCTGGAATGCCATAATAGGAAAGGTGTGCGGCAATAAATTCAAGAGTCAAAACACATAAAGGAGGAGGAGATGAAGGGTGCACACCCTCGGATCTGCGTTTACATCAGAGCATCCAATAATCTGATTTAGATGAGTAGACCCGAACGGCTAATGTTAAATTTCAAAAAAAAAAAAAAAAAAAAAAAAAAAAAAA